TGTGTTATGAATAAATCTTCTTTTTTTCGGTACCGGTACTAGTTTTATTTTGTTGTATTTATCTGCGACACCTTAAAGGCCGGTCCGTGAAAATATTGTCGGGCATAAACCGGTCCGTGGCGCAAAAAAGGTTGGGGACCGCTGTACTAGACGACCTCATTTTGCAACAAAAAACAAATAACTGAAGTCATAATTTTGAACTATTTTTGAACTAATTTTGAAAGTGAACTATTGTGATAATAACGCATCGTGGGGCATCTGTTGATTCTCACCTCTTTTGCAACATATGCTCACATTTTAAATCAGTAAGTTTTTAAGCCAATCAGACGTGGTTGAGCAGAAAATGTTGTAAAATCTTGATGATTTGAGATGGGATAAATTTAGCTAAAGATAAAATTAGCTGCCTTGTAATTAGGCTATCTCCTTCCCTACACTTTTGCTGCTAGATGTCCAAGGTTATATTCTCAGTTCCTAACCCCTGGTTTGTGTTCACATAGTTTACAATTCACAATGGTACAGAGGCATGTATGCGTACCCCCTTTCCACCAGGATCACTTGTCCTTGAAGGATCTCTCTGTCCGTCAACTCTGAGCATCCATCTGCAGGGTCTGCTGGCACGAGAAAAATCTCATCGTAAAATGATGTCTGCGGGTCAAAGGAGAAGGAAAGAGTATGATTAGAGGGAAGGTGAAGTTGTGCACCTGAGACTTTAAAAACATTTGATTATCAAATTATTTAACAGAAGACTGAGGCCTCACGAAAGTGCCTCCAAAGTCTTTAGCAGGTGCAGCACTGAAGAGGTAGCCTATCTCCTCTGGACTGATGACCCGGAAATACAGCAGTTCATTGACCCCAAGAGCTGAAGGAGGTCCGAAAAGAAGCACTTATCATGCGTGACTTGTTTATATCAGAAATATTAATAAACCACAAACACTGCACGGATATGCCAGACAGAAACCATAAATAAATGCCACAATAAGCCGCTTAACTCAAGTCGCTGTTGTGCAAAAAGAAATACTTAAAAAAAACAACTCTTGCAGCTAATACGAACAGTTAGCTGTTAATTTCAAACGTTCCCATTTCTGTTTTTAGTCTCACCTGACAGACGACTGAACTGCATAAAGAGACCCCAGAGGTATAAAGCTATCGCTGCTGTTCGACAAACGTTCCCCATGTTCAAGGCATTAGTAAATCTCCCTCGCGTTACAGAGATGAGACTGTAGTGTGTCTCTTTGTGTCTTAAAACAGTGCAGCGTCCATTGTCGCTGTGCTTCTGTCAGATCGCCAACCATTTCCGCCGTTCTCTTTCCGCGCATGCGCATGTCCCAGTTGTAGCTTCTGCTATGAGGCGACTGGGTAAGAAGTTGTGGTGCTCTTTTAGCACCAGTTTTTCAAACTACTGGTAAATGTGTCTCTGTGTTTTATTGTTATTATTATTAACATGCCTGCAAGATGCATATGAATATGTATGATGTTTATGAAGCTGGCAGTTACTTATTTAATTTATCACAATGACCTAAAAGTCATTAGTTGATCTCCCTATCGTGTACAATCATCAGAGACTTTGTTAGGTGCACTTTGCTTGTACTGTCACCTTTTACTTTAAAAACTCCCTTCATTCTTCATCCTCAGAGATTTAGGTTCATTTTGAACTTATGGCACGATATGGCAGCCTCGCTTCTGTCAGTCTGCCCCAGGGCAGCTGTGGCTACAACTGTAGCTTGCCTCCACCATTGTGTGAATGTGAGAGTGAATGAATAGTGGTATTGTAAAGCGCTTTGGGTGCCTTGAAAAGCGCTATATAAATCCAATCCATTATTATGTCTGCATGCATAAATGCACTGACTTGCTGTCATGTGACCAAGTGTTTTAATATTTGCATTAACAAGCAATTATGCAAGTGCACCTAATAAAGCAGGTGTTTTTTCTCTCTTTATAACTTCCTGACCCAAAAAACTCTTGTGTCCTTCCTGACAACTTAATTGCTGTAAGAAATTCAATACCAGAAAAAAAAATCAGGTAGAGTGTTAAACTAGAAAATAAGTACCTTTAAATCTAGGGGGAAAGACAAGGGAAAACTATAGAACCACACAGCTTGAGGGGACAGCACAACAGAGGGAGATACACAGGAGGAGAAGCGGGCAGACAGAGCACACCTGGGGAACACAGCTGAACCAAAGTCAGACTGATGAGACAGGGGAAGAAAAACTAAACATAATACACACGAGACTATCAAAATGGAACAGGAAGTAACACACAATGAGACTCAGACTAAGACACATGGGCTTGAAACTGGGACTGGGGATAAACAGACATGGAAACGTGACAGATTGGAGAGACAAAGGAGCAAAACACAGAACAGACAGACACGGGTACATGACTGGAGAGACTGAAGGAATGACAAAACACGGATATGAGAGACAGATATGAACAGAAATCAAGAACTATAAATACAAACTTAGAGGCACTGGAAAGTAGCAGGTTGTCCCATTTTACTGTATTGATTTAAACTATTTGCCAAAATGACAGAAATCAAATCCCAGTTAAATGAAAAAACAAAAAAATGTAATGCCCTAATAAAGGTTAATAAAGCTCATTTACATGTGAACTATCCACAAGCCTGCATGGCAAAACACAAACATTTATATTTATAACAGACAAGTCAAATACCTCATTAAAGTAAAGTTATTTACATAACGTAAAATAAATAAATAAACCAACTAAAACCTTTCTATCATGCTGAATTCATCTGACAAAGATGTAAAGTTTGTCAGTGTCTCTTTAAAGCCCATTTCCAAATGCATTTATAAAATCTTTTAACCAAAGTATTCTAAATTTTATTTGACAAAACAAGCACATTAGTATTTATAAATGAATTCAACTGAAGACATACAAAAATCATAAACAGACAATAGAAAAAAGCTAAAATCAGATCAGTCATAAGAACTTATATGTCCCAAATCGTGTATTCAGTAAAGTCTGCTTTGAAATTTCTTCTTATTACAAACTTTAGTGGGAATAAAATTCCTGCATTTTTCATTTATCTACCAATTCACAATCAACCAAAAATATCACATAAACATTTGCAAATTTTGTTATTTATAAAGTTTGCCATTATTTATAAATGTTATAATATCACATATGTACTATTATGATGAAAAAATAATTTCAAAGCTGGACATTTATAATTATAATTATATAAAATAACAATAAGAATAAACTTAAATACAGAAAAGTTTTTTTTTTTTAAAAGTGTTAGCAAATCTTTAAGGGTTTAATATCTCCATAACTGGTAAATGAAGGATATATGGTTTGTAAGGGAATTAATTGATGATGTCATGTAATTTATACATTTAAAAAATCAAGTATAAAATCCTTACCATCCACAGTATTGAATCTCGACTCAAAATCAATATAGTTTAATAATTACATTTCATATATAAATCTACTCTCACCAAATGTATACACTAGACCACTATCAATCACTGTCCATGTTTTATTGTGGATAATATTTCCCACTTGAGTTAGCGTGCTTCTTCCTTTTTCTCTTCTCTTCCTTGCAGTCATTGAAAACCTCAGGCGACAACTCTGGGCAACAATATTTTTCAGTTTTTTTGCATCGGCATAGTCGATGTTTTCCAGTTTTCACCTGCAATGAATCAATGACGTATTATTATGTCTGAAATGATAATGTGAACATTTCAAATGCAATGCTTCGTTTACAAATATTAGCAGTCACACCTATTCAAGTAGTAAGTAAGTAAAGTTTATTTATTAAGCGCTTTTCGTAGACAAGCAGTCACAAAGCGCTGTACACAAACGTCAAAATAAACAGAATGTTAGGTACCAAATTAGGCAATATAGACAATACAAAAGTAATACTGCATTCACACTATAGCACAATATTTTTGTGCTATATTTTGAGGGGTTTGTGTGTCCCAGGGATCCCACGGCTATGTTGTCGGGGGCTTTTTGCCCCCTGGTAGGGTCTCCCATGGCAAATTGGTCCTGGGTGAGGGACCACACAAAGAGCGATTCAGAAGACCCCTATGAGAAGACCATCAAGGGAACAGGGTTACCGGGGCCCCGCCCTGGAGCCAGGCCCGGGGAGGGTGCCCAAGGGTGAGCGTCTGTTGGCCGGGACTTAGTCCATGGGGCCCGGCTGGCCACAGCCCGTAAAAGGGGGCATAGGCCCATCTTCCTGCAGGCCCACCACCTGCAGGAGGCACCGTAGGTGTCAGGTGCATCGACCTGGATGGGCGTGACTGGGAGAAACGGCCTGTTATTGGACTTCTGTGCAAACCACAGTTTGGCCATAACGAACACCATGTTCGAACATAAGAGTGTCCATAAGTGCACGTGGCACTAGGACACTCAAGGCCGCAGGTCAATGATCAATTTTGAAATCGTATCATCAGACCTAAGGCCATATGTTCTAGACACTTGGGTAAAGAGAGGGGCTGAGCTGTCAACTGATCACCACCTGGTGGTGAGTCGGATGTGGTGGCGTGTGAGGACACTGGACAGACCTGGTGCACCTAAACATATAGTGAGGGTGTGCTGGGAACACCTGGCAGAGGCCCCAGTCTGTGAGATCTTCAACGCACACTTCTGGCAGAGCTTCAACAGCATTCAAAGGGAGACTGGGGACATTGAGTCTGAATGGACCATGTTCAGCATCTCTATTGCCAAAGCCACTGCACTGAGCATGCTGCTGCAAGTTGCTTGGTGCCTTTCGTGGTGGTAACTCCTGAACCAAATGGTGGACACCAGAGGTGAGGGGAGCCACCAAGCTGAAGAAGGAGTCCTATTGGGCTTGGTTACCCTCTACAATGTTGCGTGGAGATCAGGGGCAGTACACCTGGATTGGCAGACCGGGTTGGTGGTTCCCATCTTTAAGAAAGGGGACCGGGTGATGGCCTCAAGCTCGCTTTGGAACGGTTCGCAGCCAAGTGTGAAGCGGTGGGAATGAGAATCAGCACCTCCAAATCTGAGGCCATGGTCCTTAGCCACAAAAGGGTGGAGTGTGCACTATGGGTCAGGGATGAGTTCTTTCCCCAAGTGGAAGAGTTTAAGTATGTCGGGGTCTTGTTCACGAGTGATGGGAAAAGGGAGCGGGAGATCAGGAGACGGATTGGTGCTGCGGCTGCCGTGATGCAGACGCTGTACCAGTCTGTTGTGGTGAAGAAAGAGCTGAGTGTAAAAGCGAAGCTTTCAATTTACCGGTCGATCTACCTCCCTACCCTCACCTGTGGTCACGAGTTGAGGGTAGTGACCAAAAGACAGAGATCACGGATACAACTGGCAGAAATGGGCTTCCTCTGAAGGGTGGCTGGCCACGCTGAAGAGATTATATCTCTTGGCTGGCCTGGGAATGCCTTGGTGTTCCCCCAGACAAGCTGGAGGAGGTAGCATGGGAGAGGGACCTGGCCTCAAATAAGAGGAAGAAGATGGATGGATGGATGGATGGATGGAGTTTTCAGTATGCTAACTACTATGTGAAAATCAGTATGCTCTGGTAAAGCTTTGATAACCTTTCTTGGATTTTACTGTTAATTTTTCTTGGTTGAAAAAAGGTTTAAAAAAAAATTCAAATTGTATTGTGTGTTGAATATATGTATAAATTACTTGTGTGTTGTATCTATTACAAGAATTCTTTGTCCTTTACTTTTGAAAGTTGTCATTTTTTAAGCAACCTAATTGCAAAAACTTATTAAACAGTATGTGGTATGAGAAAAATGTAAAACTTGTTACTATTGCTGGAAATAGCAATAAGTTTTTGTTTAAATCAATACGGGCATCTGTACTACCATAAGGTCTACATTCACACAAGCTTATCTCTGGGAATGATGTGTTTAAATGAAAATATTAATATTTTCTAAATAATATTCTAAATTTAAAAAAACTTTAAAGCATTTACATTTGTTTCTCAGTATCAATCCTAAGAACTTAACAGTGCATGTAACTTATCAATACAACATAAGACATGTACTTATAAATAGGCTATAGTTCAGACATGTATATAAACTATATTTTTATATGCATGTATATTCCTCTTCTTTCAGCTGCTCCCTTTGGGGGTCACCAAATTGAAATGTGATGCAGTTAACTATGAAAGGAAAACTCAGTAGACCTACATGCTTCTAGTAACTAAAGTTTCATGACAAAACACATGAGTGTAGGTTTAAGTACCATTGCGTTACAGAGGAATTCTAGAGTTTCTTTTCTGTTTTGGTCAGTCACTGCACGCATGACATGAGCAACACATAAATGAAGTAGGAACGTATAAAAGGAAGGAAGCTCAAAGCTCTTTTAATAGCATGCTGATTTGCACTGTGGCAAACCACCAAATACACAGAAACGCCAACTCACTTGCACAGAAGTAACAAGAACATAAAGAAAAATGTGTGACCATTGCTCAAAGTTCAGCCTATTCAATGGCTCGTTCAAACTTCTGATTCATGTTTGAGATTGTGTGCTACGCAGAATTTCCTTAACCTTGATGTCCTTAAATGAGCAAAACTATAGAAACCCTTGAAACCTCAGCTGACTGCTAAATATAATTTCACAGTGAATCACACACCCGTCTGTGTTTTAAGTTGGGGCTGGAAGGCTAACAGTAGGTTTAAATATATTTAGTGTCTACGTACATATTTAGGTTTCCATTGACTTTCCCACAAAAATTTGGTCTTACTAGCCACCTATTTGGGGAATAATAGTGCATTTTTGGTCTATAATGGTGTTTACTTTACTTACTATATATGTAATTTCAAATAAATAAGTATAAATAAGCATTTAAATAAATAAAAGTTTGTGTCTTAATAAATAAAATCATTATAACAAGTGTGTTGGACAGATCCTTTGAAGTAAAGACAAAACAAACCAAGTAGAAACAGGAGGAACACATGGCAAAAAACCACAGGGACACGAGAGGACATTGCAGACTTGTAAGAAGAGATAACGAGCAAAAGCTGACAGTGGTGGACTCAGATAATATCAGTAGGTTACATTTTTCCAGGGAGTCCACTGACTCCAGTTGGAGAGCACCAGTGAGTCTCTGGAGCGAACCCTGAGCTTGCTGATTTTCTTTGGTATCAGAGTAGATGATGAATGTCCGGTCTAAAATCAGACAAGAGATAAGAGATCAAAATGCAGTGGCTATAATGACAGACATTTAGATCTCATAAGATTTTGTTTTAGTGTAAGATTGTGCATACTTGGCCATCATCTCTAAGCACATATTCAATTTGGTGCTCCAGACTGAAGAAGCTGTAAGGTGCTGACCAGGTGGATGGTGGAGCAATGGTCACATTCACGTCCTCGTTCACTAACTCACACTTGACAATCTGGGGACTGTCAGGTTGAACTAAGAAGAAGAAGAAACAGTAAATAATATCGTCCATGTGTGTATATAAAACAATAATTTAAACACAAACATATGTGTATATATATTTAACATGAATCCATTTGCGTTTAGATTCAGTTAATGCATTAACGTTACTGTTTCACTTAAAACTTTATCATGCATGGACTGCATACATAGACTTTCTTTTTCATCAGAAAATGTTTTCAAAAGGGAAAAGGTGCTTTGTAGTTGATAGTCTTCTACTGAATGCCATTGATGTAGCTCAGTTTTACTCAGCTTACCAATGTCTCTGAGATAAAATCTCTTCGATGTCCTGAAAACGGACAGATCACGTATAGCCTCAGCAGTGAGTTCAAGCATGGTGCTTTCCTCTGCGTAGGGTGAGAGGTCGTGAGACATCTCAAACTGCAGTTCCCCCTCTGCGAGCCGCCGACTGCTACTAATCCACTGGCAGGACTCTGAACTTTTACTGCTAATAAAACAAGCAGTAAAAAAAAAAAAAAACAGAAAACAAAATATAACAAAAAAATCAAAAATACACACATCTCAGGTGATTCGTCTAGTTTGGGCATCTTAACTGTAATTTGTCTAGGTTATTATTTCTTTCTTTCTTTTTAAGTTTTCAAATTTACCAGTTATGACCCAGTCCAAGACGCACTGCTGTGTATCCATTGCCTGTCCAAGTGCAGTTGAAGTTACAGTCATAAGACTTTGCCCGACAGTTAATGAGAGAATCTGTAATGATAAACAATATCTTTAAATTCTAAAGTAATTTAAATGTTTGGGTGAAAAATGACAGCAAACATCACTACATTTTGTAAAATGATACTTCACAGAATGGTTAACTTAAAGCCCTAATCTCACCTACTAGAGAGAGAGAGAGAGAGTGTTTTACCCAAACTGTCAGGCAGTATAAAAGTGTCTTTATTAGTGCTATATGTTGACTGTGCATTAGCAATATAGGTTCCCCTAGTTGAAAAAGTCCCATCATTTAGAGCATGTGAATGGTAGGATGAATGAAAAATGAAAGAGAAACTCACCAATTGTGTCTTCTTCATCAGCCTTCAGCAGCAGATAGGTTGAGGATAGCATCTCTTCACCTCTCCAGCAACTGTAGTCACCCAAATTTGGTGTATCTATATCTGACACGGTCAGGTTCTGACCATTTAGCTCTACATTTTCTTCATCTTCCAGTGGATCGCCATTCAGCTTCCATGTGACGATGTCGTCAGGTTTTGAATTGCAGGTCAGTGTGTAATTTTCATATCTTTTTGCCACCGCAACTACACAAAGATAGAGAAGATAGACAGATAGATAGACAGAGAAGAAGTTAGTAGATGAACATTTTAAACCACAAATGAATATTAGGAAAATGTTTGGATCATAAAAAAAGACATACAGTTTTCTGGAAAGTGGTTGAGTTCGTGAGCTCCCGTGAGGCTGATCATTAGAAGCCCAAATGTCCACAGTGGAAAGGTCATCTGAGGAATTGTGTGACAGCAAAAAGCATTTATTGAAAAACAATTCATCACTTGCATTAAAATAAGTATCGTGTGATTTTTAGTGAAACAATATGTAAAGTGACTCATGGAACATTCAATTGGCTCAAAGTTAATTTAGTTGAGAAAATGCATTGAAAATAGGTAATTTGCTTCTTATTCTGTAATGTAGATATGAAATTAAACTAACTAGAATTTAATTTATATATATGTATAGATAGATAGATTTATATCTGGAAAATAACTCACCCTGAAGTGATGTCAAAAGCAAAAGTGCAGATGTTCTGTCACTGCGATCTTGATGATTGTATGGTCTAACTGCCCACAGAGCAGCAACTTTATATTGCGATGCATGATACACATCATCGACACCTCCACCTCCAATGTGACACTTTGGGAGAGAGAAACTGACCGATCTAGTAAGTGATAAGAGTATGCACATTTCCTCTATACTGCTTTGCATGTCAAATTTTTTTACACAGTGAAGCTGTGACTTTCGTACAGGGGACTAAAAGATAAGAAATGTGGGTGTTCAGTAGGGTGGGGGGTTGCCCTTAGTCTTTAAGGTGAAATACAACAGTATAATACAATGTTTGATAAGTGCTTATCTGAGAATGGATTTAAAAAATAATTTTTAAAAAACTATTGCAATCACAAAAACAGGACACACAACACATTTTATGTTCAATATTAATGCGACCAAACATTTTCTTGGTTGGCTCTTTATGTGCTAACACGCACACAGACACACTGGTTCCTGCTTCTCAACTTTCAGTTTTTATGTTGGTTTTTTTATATAACCAGGGCTGTAAATGTGGGGCAATAGCACTCCTTGGTATCAGTCTATGCAACCTGTGAATAGAACAAAGAAGCACTGATCTTTCAGTCATCAAAAGCTAATGTAATACTATAACATAAACAACATTTTTTTTAATTCAAAGTCTTTTGAGAACAGGCTCAACCCTATTGACATTAATAAATACAGCTGGTAGCAAAAAATATATCAGTCACTTATGATTAAAAAAAAAAATAAAGCAGAATAAATGTGACATTTAGGACTAGTAACCACCCTTATCCGATCAGACAAACCTGGGCTAAAGGGTGCATTTTTTCTGTATTGCTCTGAATCACATGCTGACTTTGCTACTGATGTTAAGAAATCCATGATCCACAGTAAATGCCTGTTTTTATAGTGTTTCTCACAAAACAAGCCGCTAAAAAATGTTAGAGAGCTTACGAGAACAAGCTATTTCCACTATTTCCTCGCTCTTTGCAGTCAGAATGATTGCTCAGCTCATTGCAAAACATATTATGAGATTAATCCAACAAAATTGCAAAACATAAGTGGAACATTTCTTTTTATTAGCTGCTTATATGTACACTGTCTTTATTGTAATTCCAGGCTGAAATACCAAAAAAATTATCTAACATTTCTTTGATCAGATAAGCAAGACAGACCAAAACTGTTCTTTAAGAGGTTTCCCCCCATGATATTATCATTGTCATGCTCCCAAAACCTCAAAAACATGCACACACATTACACCGGAAAGGAAAGACGGACACAAAACAGGACTTTCCCTCTCATTAGTCATGTAGACCAAATGTCAGCTATGACCTAACTAGACCTTTAACTAACACTTTGGTCATGTTTTTTATTCTCGCACATACTATGCACACATCAAATGCTCCCGTCATATCTTTAACTATGTGAAAGGTACTTCCACAAAACTGTAGAGGGCTGTATTATTATTGGGTCTCAAAAATCTTTTCTGCCTTTCTACATGCTGGTTAAGGTTAACAGAACCTATGTCCAATAAATTCAGAGAAAATTGTTAGGCACTTTGAAAAGAAATCGTTTCAGGTTTCAGTTCCTCAAAAACCTAAAAAGCCGTATTATTCATTAATCATCTTTCATGCATGACTTCAAAGAGCTGCATAGTCACAGTTGCTCAAATTATTTCATACTTTGTGTTTTTACAGTTTATCATACAATACTTGAACCTAGTTTCTACGACTGAACTTAAAGCTTATTTTGATCAGTTATTCATTTAATGTGTATATATTACATTTCAACTTCAGCTTAAGAAATTTACAACTAAAATGTTTACTTACTAGTAATTGGACTTTAAAGGTCAATCAAAGCTCATAAAATAAGGTAAAGTTTTAAAGTCCCAGTTAATTCAGTGTTACTTCCGCATGAACCCCAAAACTGAAAACATTTGTATCCACTCCACATTCAAAACTGTGCCAAGCTCTGAGATCACGTCAGTCCAGATAAGATTCTGACAAACAGAAAAAAAAAACACTATGTCAAGTGTGTTGTCAACATATTAATAGTGATTAAAAAAAATTAAAGAACAGAAGTACACAACACTGAAGAGGAAAGAGATGTTTTTTTGCTGTAAATGAGTGGAATTCTCTAACTTTATAGACCACATGTTCTATTTACATTAGTGATGGATGCCTTTTATTCTGAATAGAAAAAAACAACAAAAAAACACTTAAACACACTGGGGAATCCAGAAGAGGGGCTTAATGTGGTACTTTCCATATTAAGAGGAACAACACTGCCTGTTTATAGAAGCATATACAGGTATTTTTCTACCCTGAATGTGTTTGTTTTTAACCTTTAGGATTATCAAACAACTAGAAAGAGATAAATATCATTTCTGCCTACACATGCCTCCTAATAGGTTACACACTTAACATTAGACTTTGTGTTTGGCCGCAAGCATTTCAAATGTACTGTGGGGATAGCAAAATACTTTTCTTTTGAAATTTGAAAAAGAACAGCCAAAGCATATGATAAATGAGAAAAGTAATTTTTATTACATGATTCATTCCACCATAACATTTTTCCATGTGTGGACATCACAATGCAGAAGAGGCAGCGTGAGAAATAAAAAGGTTTGCACATTCCACTTAAATAATTTCACTTGTACTGCAGAACAAGTGACACGAAGGGCTTCGTAAAAGCTTCCACAAAAAGCTGATTTTACTTGTTTTATACCAACTGTAACACTTTGTGAACACAAAGCAAAAACAGATGAACAAAGCTGATGAACCTTCTGTGCCAAAGCACGGCGAGCCAGAAGGTTTTCCAAAATGTTTGCTGGTGGTTGTTAGTTTGCTTCATCCTTTGAAGCCTCATCAAAGTTTTCAACGAGATCTGAAAATGGAAAAGGGAGAATAGAGAGGGGTGTATAGCAGATCAAGACAAAAAAACAAAACCGTTGCCCAAGTAAGAATAAGCCCTTAGACTTAGAATTGGTGGCAGAAGCCTGCCTTACACTCATAT